AATATGAACCTGCAACACAGGTGTTTCTAAGACACAAAGGAGAAGAGACTATATTGAGCCGGCTGCACTGGCACTGTGTCTGATCAGTGCAGACTCCACAGAGCACACATCTTTTCCCTTCCCATCCTCTGCTTCCTCAAGCCTGCTCACCACCAAAACCCGCCCAGCAGTGCTGAAGGGGGACATAAAGATTTAGAGCTTGTGCCGATGGAGCAGAATATTCACCCCCAAACCTAAACTCTAGTCTCAGCCTTTTTGCATTTAGTATACTTTGTACAAACCTAACTTTTGGTGGTAGCAAGGAGTCCTTCCCTGAATACCCACTTGATGTCATACTCTGACTACTATTTAGTCATTTTAAACCCTGTAATGTTAGTAATTTATTCATTTGCAACCAAGGCAACACCCATTTTCTGTTAGTTCTCAACTTCAAACAGCTAGGTCAAAGTCAAGTGGCACTTTCATGAGTGACTACACATCCTGACTTATCTCAACATAGGGTACCATCCTGGTAAGGGAGTCACTTCAGTGAAGTGTGTTGCTTCATCTAAACTGCAGGTGACAGGTGTCCAACATGCAACAGCAGACTTCAAAGTATTATGCAAAGAGTATCACTGCCTACTCACTAGGAAGCCAGGGAGTACGGGGGAACATTGTGGGGTTCATACAGATGTTGAAGTACAGTGTATGACAACCAAAAGAAAGGGGTGAAATGCAGTAGACTACTATAAGATTCTTACGTCAAGTGGTGCATTACTTGAAGGTAGACTGTGTTATGTTAAGGATGTATATGCTAAATCCTAAAGCAACAATTAAAATAACACAACAAAGAATTAGAGTTTATAATCCAACAAAGGAGATAAGGTGAATCATAGAATGATATTGAGTTAATTCAAGAGTGAAGAGGAAAAAAGAAACAAAAAACAAATGGGATAAATACAAAATAGAAAGATGGTAGATTTAAATCCATCCATATCAATAATCACATTAAACATAAATGGTCTAAACATCCCAATTAAAAGGCAGAGATTGTCAAATTGGATAAAAATTATCCAGCCATATGCAGCCTAAAAGAAACTCACTTTAAATACAAAGACTCAGATAGGTTAAAATTAAAGGATGGATGGAAAAAGATGTATCATGATAATACTAATCAAAATAAAGTTCGACTGGTTTTATTAATATCAGACAAGTCATTTTTAAAATACAGGGATAGAGTTATTCCATAATGGAAAAAGGGTCAATTCATCAAGATGATATAATAACCCTTAAGATTTATGCACCTAACAGAGCTTCAAAATACATGAAGCAAAAACTGATAAAACTGTAATGAGAAATAGACAAATCCACGATTATCCTCAGAGATATCAATATCCCTCTGTTAATAACTGATGGAAAGAATGTGTATTCTGCTGTTAGCTGAAGTGTTCTATAAATTTCAGTTAGGTCACATTGGTTGATAGTGACTTTCTGTCTAATTTTTCCAATTGCACATGGAACAGTTACTAAGACAGATCATACTCTGGGCCATAAAACAAGTCTCAATAAATTTAAAAGGATTCAAATTATACAAGGTATGTTATCTGGCCACAATGGAATCAAATTAGAAATCAATAATAGATTTGGAAAATCTCCAAATATTTAGAAACTAAATAACAAATAATCCTTGGATCAAAGTCAAAAGGGAAATTAGTATGTTAAACTGAATGAAAAAAACCCCACAACATATTAAAGGTTGGGGGTGCAACTAAAGCATTACTTAGAGGGGAATTTATAGCACTAAACACCTGTTGGAAAGGAGGAAAGGTCTCCAATCAATGACCTCAGCACCCACTTTAAGAAACTTTAAAAAAGAGCAAATGAAACCAAAACTAAGCAAAGGAAAATAAAAGCAGAAGTCAGTGAAAACAAATTTGAAAAACAGATAAAAATCAATGGAACCAAAAGCTAGTTCTATGAAAAGATCAATAAAAGTATTAAACCTCCAGCCAGAATAATCAAAATTGAGAGATAAGATGCAAATTACCACACAATTCTCTAGACCACTGAAGAGGAGATACTTCCAAAGTCATTTTATGAGACCAGCAGACACTGATACCTCAACCAGACAGAAGTATTACAAGAAAAGCAACTAGAGACCCTTATGAACATAGATGCAAAAATTCTTAAAATGTTAGCAAATCAAATCCAACAATACATAAAAAAGGACCTTAATATATTGTGGTCAAGTGAAATTTATCCCAGGAACACAAGGTTGGTTTACCATTCCAAAATCAACCAAGGTAATTCACAACATAAACAGCTAAAGAAGAAAAATGATATGATCATCTCAATAAAGGCAGAAAAGGCATCTGAAAAAAATCCAGTATCCTTTCCTGATGAAATCTCTCGGCACGCTAGGAATAGAAGGGAATTTCTCCAACCCAAAAGAGGGTGTCCACAAAAGGTTAATTGCCTTCTCTAAGATCAGGACCAATGCAAATACGTCCACTCACTACTTCTCAACACTGTACTGCAGGTTCTAGCTGAGGCTATAGGCCAGAAAGAAGAAAAGGGAACCAGGTTGGAAAGGAAGAAGCTTATTTACTTTGCAAACTGTCTTTATTTGCAGACATGACCATCTATGTAAAAAATCATTTGGAATCTACAAAAAAAAATGCTGCCAGAATAAGTGAGTTTAGCAAGGCTGCAGCATAAAAGATCAAATACAGAAATGAATTATATTTTATATACTAGCAATGAAAAATTAGAAGTTGAAGTTTACAAAACAATACTACAGGGCCGGCCCTGTGGCCGAGTAGTTAAACTTGTGCGCTGGGCTTCAGCAGCCTAGGGTTTTTTCACTGGTTCTGATCCTGGGCGCACAGACCTAGCACTGTTCATCAAGCCATGCTGAGGCAGCATCCCATGTAGCACAGCCAGAAGGACCTACAACTAGACTATACAACTATGTACCGGGGACTTTGTGGAGAAGAAAAAAAAGACAAAAACAATACAGAATCAAAAAATCTGTAGTTTTCAGGGTAAATTGGACAAAAGATTTGCATTATCTTTTTTTTTTTTTTTTTTACAGATTTTATTTTTTTCCTTTTTCTCCCCAAAGCCTCCCGGTACATAGTTGTATATTCTTCATTGTGGGTCCTTCTAGTTGTGGCATGTGGGACGCTGCCTCAGCGTGGTTTGGTGAGCAGTGCCATGTCCACGCCCAGGGTTCGAACCAACTAAACACTGGGCCGCCTGCAGCGGAGTGCGCGAACTTAACCACTCAGCCACAGGGCCAGCCCCAGATTTGCATTATCTTTACACTAAAACTAACAAACATGGCTGGGAGACATTAAAGAAGGCCTAAATAACTGAGGAGATATCTCATTCATGGGTCAGTGGTTCAATATGGTTAAGATGTCAGTTTTCCACCAAACTGCTCCACAGATTCAATGCAATCCCAATCAAAATCCCAGCAGGCTTTTTTTTCGGTAGAAATTTACAACCTGATTCTGAAATTTGTATGGAAATACCAAATACCAAGGACTTAGAATAGTCAAACAATTTTGAAAAAGAAGTTGGAGGATTAATACTACCTAACTTTGAGAGTTATTATAAAGCTACAGTAATCAACACAGTAAGTTACTGGTGTAAAGATAGACTAATAGATCGATGAAACTAGAGAGTCCAGAAGTAGATTGAGATACATGCGGCCAATTCACTTTCAATAAAGGTGCCAAGGCAATTCAATGGCAATAGAATAATGTGTTCAAGAAAAAGTGCTGGGAACAACTGAATAGCCATAGGCAAGAAAAAGGAATCTCGACTCTTACCTCATACCATAAACAAAAAATTAACAATTCAAAATGGGTCATAGACCTAAATATAAGAGATAAAACTATAAAACTTCCACTGAAACATAGGGTATGTTCCAAAAGAAAACCTAAGATAAAGTCAGTGACTTTGGGTTTGGCAATTGCTTAAATGCAACATTAAAAAGATGAACTTCAAAAAAGAAAAAGCAAGGGGCTGGCCCCGTGGCCGAGTGGTTAAGTTTGCGCGCTCCGCTGCAGGCGGCCCAGTGTTTCGTTGGTTCGAATCCTGGGCGCGGACATAGCACTGCTCATCAAGCCACGCTGAGGCAGCATCCCACATGCCACAACTAGAAGGACCCACAACGAAGAATATACAACTATGTACTGGGGGGCTTTGGGGAGAAAAAGGAAAAAATAAAATCTTTAAAAAAAAAAAAAAAGAAAAAGCAATTAATTGGCCTTCATGAAAATTTATAACTTTTTTTTGAGGAAGATTAGCCCTGAGCTAACATCTGCTAATCCTCCTCTTTTTGCTGAGGAAGATTAGCCCTGAGCCAACATCCATGCCCATCTTCCTCTACTTTATATGTGGGACGCCTGCTACAGCACGGCTTGACAAGTAGTGCATAGGTCCACACCCGGGATCCAGACCGGCAAACCCCAGGCTGTTGAGCAGAACGTGTGAACTTAACCACTGCACCACCGGACCAGCCCTGAAAATTTATAACTTTTGCTGTTTAAACAATACTTTTAAGAAAATGAAAAGACATTTTTTTCCTCAGACCTGGAGAATATATTTATAAAACATAATACCTAACAAAAGACTTTTATTTGGAGTATATGAAGAATTCTTATTAATCAATAAGAGGATAAATAACCCCATAAAATACAGAGAAAAGATAGGAATAGACACTCCACCACAGAAGATACACAGATAGCAAAGAGGCACATGAAAAGATGCTCAGCATTAGTCATTAGGAAAATACAAATTAAAACCATAATGCAATAACATTATGTGCACATTAAAATGGCTAAATTAAGACTCATCACGCCAGGTGCAGGATGTGGAGCAAATGGGACTCTCATAGACAGCTCGTAGCTCAGTGAAATGGCACAAGCACTTTGGAAAACAGCTTGGCAGTGAGATACACATACAACCCCACCACTCTCCTAGATACTGACTCAAGAGAAATGAACAACTTGTACAAAATGTTTCCAGCAGCTTTATTTGTAATAGCCAAAAACTGGAAACAACCCAGATGTCTTGAGAACGGGTAAATTATGGTGTATCCATACAGTGGACTGTCATTCAGCAATAGAAAAGGAATGAATTACTGATGCACACACGTGGATCAATCTCCAGATTAATTATGAGTGAAAGCAGACAGACAAAAAAGTACATACACAGTATGATTCCATTTTAAGGTAATTCTAGAAAATTCAAACTAATCCATAGTGACAAAGCCGACTAATGATTGCCTGCGGATGAGAGTAGCTAGGGGGTTATAGAAGAGCAGCAAATTTGGGGGTGAGGTGGGTATGTTCATTATCGCGATTGCAGCGGGTTCATGGATGTATACCTCTGTCAGACTTGACCAAATTGTACACAATTTTAAAAAGCCCTTTGCCTTTTTCACTCTCGTACTCTTCTGAGGACACGATGTCATCATTCTTACAGTTACTGAATGTGTGCTCATGTATTCTTTTGTTTTAAAATTGTTTTATTTTCCAGTATGGGAACTGTCTCTACATACAGTGATGTGTCAGAGCAGACTGCACCAGCTCATGAGAGCTGACTGCATCTGAGCGCTCAGTTTAGAGGTGTCACATTGACGGCCTGAATTTGGCCATGGTGTAAGTATTTACACCATGGAAGTTGGCAAATGCTACTACAAAATCAGGGCTTTTTCTCCGACAGCTGGTTGTTAAACGTTTACCAGCCCAACACTAGCCATAACATACATAAATTAAAGCTCATTAGAATTCTTGATTTTTAATTGTGCAAAAGGAATCTGAGAAGCACCAGGCTGAAATCTGCTTTTATCAAGCTAGAAATGTTACTAGGGAGAAAAGCAAACAGAAAGCTTTCCAGACACTCATCCTATCAGGAAACCTGCAGAGACTCATCTTCCGTTGCCTGGAGCAAACGCCGCACTGGGCTCTCTGTGGAAACGTCTTTCCCCTCGACCAGGGGCGTCTGGGTTGCACTGTCAGCTCCCTGAATTTGAAGAGCCCAAAGGCTGCTAGGAAGAGTGGGGCTGCCACCTCCGCTGGCAAACACCAACAACCCACCACCCTGCTCCCATAGCCACTCGGAGCAGAGCGTGAGGTACTGCTCGAGAAGGAGCAGCCCCAGGCCCAGGTTTCTGTGTGATGGACTCCAGTAGTGAGACGAGAGGCTCGGGACAGATACATTCGTAGCCAGTGAATCGACCACCAGGACACCAAGATCGGAACTTCCATCAACTGCTCTGAGGCAACTTAGGTACAGAAGGAGGTTTAGAGCCATCCCTGGCTCCCCTGCTCTTCAATGCCAGCCTGAGCCCTTTTGGACTATTTAACACGGTGTGGAGATGTCAGTGTGCTGACGCTCCGTCATCTCAATGGAGAGCTCCCAGGAAGGGAAAAGGCTGAAATTAAAACAAAAAACAAACAAACAAAAACGACTCCATTAAAGAATTCAGCAGGGAGTTGATTATGTTGCAGAAACACATCTTCTTGTTTCATGACGCGTTGGAAATGTAAACCTTAGGGCTTCTTCGCCTCCACTGCATAGAGGTCTAATCGCTTCTGGCTAAAAATAGGGATTTGCTGGCGTATTTCAGCCAACTTCTTCAGGTCTGCAAAAACAAGAAAGTGCACTATTAATAAGATGTAACTCCCCACTAACCAAGGGGATTTCTTCCCCCAAACAGTATAAAAACAATCAGAGCGTGAGCAAGAAACTCGGCAACACAGGCCCTGTCTAGAGGCACAGACGCTGGGTGCTGCCCCCCGAGCATCTCAAGCCAAACCAAGAAAACTCGAGCTGAGCTCCGGCCCCCAGGGCTTGGCCAGAGAACCAAGGATAAGTGAGGAGGGGCATACAGGAGCCCCTCCAGGTGACAGGGGCCTCCAGGTGACAGACAGCCACACAGTCTGGCCTGAGAGCAACAGGGACACCCGAGACCTGAACTGCCGGGCAAACCTCACCGATGTCCGAGTACACGATCATCTCTTCAGTGCCAGCCGTGGCGAGGACCTCCCCCCTGAAAAAGATGCAGGAGCACGTGAGCAGGCTCACTGACATCCGCTGACGCTCAATCTCTCTCTGTTTCTCCTCCCCATCCCACAGGCCAAGGGGGAGGGAATCTGAGATTTAACACAAGAAGGTAGGGGTACAGATTCCTGCTCTACCATTTGAGTAGCTGTGTGGCCTCGTGGCAGGTCATTTGGAGTCTCCATTTCCTCGTCTGTAAAGTGGAAACAAGAGCTCCATGAGGACTCAGTGAGGCAATTATGGAGTATGTTTTGTAAACTGCAGATTGCTGGGAAATGGTAATTATTCTATGAAATGAACATTCGGGAATGGAGCCGCCTGTGACCAACATCCTGTCCCCTCGTGAGTGCAGGTCAGCACGGCGCCTTCACAAGGTAGCCTGCCTCTGCTTCCTCATGGCCCCCGGGGCTGCTGCTCCACCCCCGGCACAGTGAGGCTGGGCCTGGGCAGGGCCCGGATCCGCGTGGATCTCTGGTCTGGTGCCTCTGATCTCTGGATTCTGGTGTTCATGGGTTTTGGTTTTTGATGGAAAGGTTTCAATTTGCTGGCCTGGGTAGAAGTGGCAGGAGCCACCGGCAGCCCCGCTGGCAGGAGCCCCAGACTCACAAACAGCAACACTGCTTCATAAATCCAGGGACAGCTGTCTGGAAAAGCGTTTCCAGAGCTGAGTCTCTTGGCCCACACAGGGCTTCAAAAACATATCTAATGAAATGAAATTTCTTCAAAGCCCAAAAGGAAGTCATCTGACAGAACAAACAACTGACATAATAACTGGTTCTCCTGACCAGAGGGCCACAAACAAATTTTTGGCACAAATGAGCTACAAACACCATCATTAATGCCACTTAACTGAATTCTTTTCTATTTCTTCCACATTTGCTCTAGCATCCAAAGATCTATGTTAATCCCAGGAACCCATGCCAACAGTGATCAGAGCCAGCGGACCCCCAACCCCACAGATGGAATTCTGGAAAGGAAGAAATAAAGATAAACCTTGTACAACTACTTCACGTCAGAAGCAGCCTGCTTGATCGGCAGCAGGTTCATCAGGAGAATTAGTGTGGAGCAGAGCTACCCAAAGGCCAGGAAGTCTGTCACCAACACCTGGGCAGAGGAACTTGAACAAAGCTGGAGAACATTTTCAGGCCAACTTAATCCTTCCAGGCTTCCACTGCCCAGGTCCTAACGTGCAGGGGCTCCCTGAGATCGCTCCCTGGTCACATCTGCCTCCCCATCACACGCTTTAAGCTTTGGGTACTATAAAGTCAGAAGGGAGAAACTGGAGGGACCCCACACTGATAGTCAGCCCTCTTGGCCCTGTTACTGGTATATTTATCCTGAAACTGTAGACATACACATCAGTGAGCGTGTGTGTGTGAGTGTGTGTGTGATCACACAGATGTTTGAGAAGGAGCATGAAATAAATCCAAGTCCTGAAGCCAGAAGTCCCAGATCCCAACAGCAGTTCCAGCCCCTTGATCCTGTGAGTGCCAATCCCACTATCCATAAACTGGACTTAGCACAGAGAGTCAAACTGAGGCGCTGTGTGATGATGCTATGCACTATAGAGACGCGGACCACGAGATCTGTGTATTAGTGTGTGACATCTGTTGAGCTGGGCAGCCTTTCTTGCCGGTTCCACTGAGTAAAAAGATGCTTTGCCCTCTCCTGTAGCCTCTGAGTAATGAAATGCTTCAGCCTTTCTCTTAATGGAGCCCATCCTCTCCCCTCCTGTAATTGTTATGCAGGAAGCAAAATCCTCACCCTGTAACTCACTCCTGCCCTAGGGCCAGTCACCCAGTCTAAATTTTTACCAAAAGCCCAGAGTTTTGGAGCTTCTTCTACCAACCCCCCCCCCCCCCCCCCCCCCCCACTGCTGCCTTGTCTCCCAACATGATCCTAATCTGACTGACAATGCAAGCCCCTCAGAAACTCAGCACGGGGGGCCAGGCACTCAGCCAGGAGAACAGGACCAGTTCTTTCTCACAGGGTTCTCAAGTGAAGCTTCTCTCACAGAGAGGGAGGCCTGGCAGACACGTGGGGATGTGTGGGGGGGTGGGGGGAAGGGCAGGGCTGCTCAGGACCAGACCCCCACCTGCCCAGGCGTCATCTCTCTTGAGCTCCCAGTGAGCCTGTCCTTGCTTAGCCAACTCACCAAGGGGTCACAACGGTGCTGTGTCCCCAGGCAACATAGGAGGCTTTGTCATCCCGGGCAGGAGATGCCGTGGCCACATACACCTGATTATCAACAGCCCTGCAGTCAACAGACAGAGAAGAGGTCAGCTATACATTGTGGATCTGCAACCTTTTTCTATCCTCAATTCACAGCTCCTTCTTTTAAAAGGAGGACAGGACAGGCTGGCTCAGATATGCAAGGACCCCTAGAGCCATGGAACCCTCTCTTCAAACAGTATTTTACTGCAGAGGCCAGTTCTCAGCTGGGGCGTGTGCCAGTATCTGGAGACCTTTTTGACTGTCACAATTAGGGGGTTGCTACTGGCATCTAGTGGGGAGAGGCCAGGGATGCTGCTAAACATCCTACAATGCACAGGACAGGCCCAACAAAGAATTATCTAGTCCCAATGTCAATACTGCCACAGTTGAGAGACCTGGCCTGAGCCAACCTGTAACATGCACTCCATCTCAGGAGGGCTAGTCCTCCCACCAAACCAGAAATCCTCCCACAAAGGAACACTGAGATGCTTGAAGGCATGCTTGAGGTGCTCTCTTACCTGCCTCGCTGAAGGAGCTCCCAGTGGGCTGGTCCAGTGGTCAAATTAAAAGCTCCAGGATATACCAACAGCTGGCAGCCTTGGGGAGAGAAAGGCCAAAGAACGGTGGGTGCAGGTGGGCACCCGACCACCCTAGTGCCTCCCTGCATTCCTTAACCAGGAGGACCAAACCCAACCTTCCCAAGCACACGGAGACATCAGCCAAGTCAGACAGGGTCAGCAGCATTAAGTTATGGCTCTGAATTCCTTTAGAGACACACATGAGACACAGAGACCCACAAGAAAAGTATTGACAACCGAAAACACAACATGTGACTTTGCCTAAACAAAGTGGAAAACTGTCAGTCGAATTTCTCTCAGCACCATATGGCCAGCTCCGCATGGCCAAGGACCATGTTCTGTAATGTTCTCCACTGAAACGAGGGGCAGAACAGGTGCTCTAATGTGTAGTGATAAGACTCAACAGACTCTGCTGACCCAGAGCCCATGCACCTCCACCTTCGGCCGAGCAGACGGACTGTCTGCAGCCACTTCATTCTGTTAAGTGAAGTCGAATTGGAGTCAGAGTGGCTTCAGCAGCTGGTAGGGATGCTAATATTTGTTGAGCACTATATGAGGAGCTTTATAAATTCTCTCTCCTTAATCCTCACACCATTCCTGTGAGAAAACTGAGATCCACAATGCTCCACAGATTAAATAATTTACCCAAAGGACCGTGCAATTAAGGGGAAGTAGTAGGAACCAGAACCCAGGTCTCACTTGACCTGGTGCTCTTCCAGGACGGTAGGCCACTTCTTCTCTGGACCAAAATGTCACTGACTATATTTCTACTGCACCCAGCACCTAGGACTACTGAGTGGAGAAATCCATGAGCACAGACCACATCTTCATTTCCACTGGGCTCCAACTGACTCTTTCCAAACACAGTAGCAGGAAGGGCTTCCAGGACAGAACAGATGCTCAGCAGCCTGAGGAGCCTGGCTCCTGCCCTAGCTGCACGGTGTTCAATCACAACCTCTGAGAAGCCATGCTGTCCATACCCAGCAAATGTCTGAGAAGCCAGACGCAGGGAGAGACTAAGACCTCAGTTTTTCTGACTAAAGGCTCCCTCTACCCACAAGGACCAGCCCAGAATCAACCCTCCCAGCAGCTATACAACACAGCCCCCTCACCTCTCTGTGCGTAGATCTGTGCAAGCTCTGCAAAGCGGAGGTCGTAGCAGATGCCCAGGCCCACTCTGCAGTAAGCTGTTTTCCAAACAAAAAGTGCAGACGTGAGAAGTTCACCTCCTGCAGCACGGTGTGGGAAAGGCGCCACGACCTTATGCTCACAAACAGTGACAGGGAGACATTAACACAGGGCCCGTGGACAGTGAAAACATATAAGCTATTCCTGCTGGGATTTCACCACAAAAAGACTTCATTTACGTCAGCAGAGTAGAGACAAGAACTTCGTCCTAACTGAATGCTTGTTATCTAAGTGGGAGGTGTTCAGTCCTGGCCTTAGGTACACTCTGGAAGCTGGCATGCTAACAGGGCTGTGACTGATGGAGAGCAAAGTCACGTCGCACCCTGAGTTCTCCATTCAGCTGCCCTTTCTAGATCTCTGACCATCCCCTGCCCTTCTCACTCTGGTCTTTTCACCAGGTTATGTAAAGATGTTGGGGAGGGACATAAGAGAAAAACAAAGGAATACCTGATCGTCTTCTACTGGGACTGTTACAAGAGGTGAATTTATATGGTACGTACGAGTATCAAATGTGGAGAAACTATCACCAGGACTCAGTGTTTTAGATTCTTGAAAGGTAATTTTCCCAGGAACATCAATGTCAAACAGATGGAGCTGCATCACAAACAAAGGGTTTGGTTACCTCTTTTCGAGCAGGTTCACGGCAGTAATAACAAACACCTTTCCATGGCCAGAATGGGGGTGCTCTAAGATCAACTGTACAAACAGCACCCCCATCCAGCCCACAACCCACCCACCAGCTGACCAACATCTTACCACAATGAATCCTAACACAGGAAACAAGAAATGATGCTAGGGACTTTATGACCCTTCGTTTCTAGGCAGTGAGCAAACCAATGCCTACGTTTCTTACGGGAAGCAATTAATGTGCTGCTTTTTACTCAATATAAACGCTAAATGAAGACTACTCAGAATCAGAACAAACTGACACGTCGACAGGAGAGGTAGAGAGTGGGTGAGTGACTAAAAATAGGTAAAATTTTGCAAACCAAATTTAGCAATATATAAAAAGAATAACACATCACTTCCAAATTGGATTTATTCAAGGAAAGCAAGTGTGCTTTAACACTAGAAAATCAGTCAATGTAATTTACCACACTAAGCAAATAAAGGAGAAAAGTCATATGGTCATCTGAAGAGGTGCATAATGAGCATTCTTATTCAAAAAACAAAACAAAAAAAGAAAACTCTTCTAGGAAGGGAGCTCCGTTAATCTGATAAAGAGTATCTGTAAAAAAACCTAAAGAAATATTGTAATTAATGGTGAAACACTAAAAGCCTTCTATTGAGATCAGGAACAAGACAAAGACACTTGCCATTCAACCTATTCCAGAGGTCCCGGAACAAGGGAAAAGAAAGGAATAAAAAGTACAACAATTAGAAAGAAAAAAAGCAAATCTGTCATTATTCTCAAACGATATAATTGTGAACCTAGAAAATCTACAGACGAGTTAGTAGAATTAATGACTGAGTTTAACAAGGTTACTATTACAAGGTCAATATTTTAAAAATTAGTTGTTCTTCTATATACCAGCAAGAACAGAAAATGAAAGGCCGCCAAAACACGTCAATTAGAAATAAATCTAGCAAACGAAATATAAGACTATACACACAAAACTATAAAAACAATTTGAGAGAAATTAAAGCCTAAAAAATGCAAGGATGTACACCATATTCATGGACTGGAAAACTCAATACTGAAAACACACACTTCAAAGAGTAGGGGTAACAGCTCGGTCCTGGCTCCTCTCCTGGGAATGGCAGAGTGGTCCTATCAGACCAGCTTTCCCCCAGATACCTGTGAACTCTGGACAAAAGCAGCAGCACTGGGGAACTGAAAATAGGAGATTAGAAAAAGATGTACCATACAAATAACAATACCAACAGCCAGGAATAGGCATCTGTGCCAACAAGTCAGATGCCTGCTGTGTGTACAATATGATGAGAGGGACTACGGGGCTTCATGGCAAATTCTCAAGTGGCAACAAGACTTCCACATTCCAAACTTACCTTTCTGTGCTTTACCAATAAAGCGCCATCAGGCCCAAACACAGCACAGGTGTTATATAATTTCCCAGCATCCTCTTCAGGAATGGAACCTTTCATTGAGAGGAGAGACACACAGGCACAGAAAACATTCTGAATAAAGCACTCTTCTATGATAAGTGGACAAAGACTGGATAAACTGTCACTTGGGTCCAACAATAGAGTTGACTATCTTCAAAGGTTTATCTAATCATGGTTTTTTCTTCTTGAACATGAGTTTTCAGAGAGAAGCTCTCGAGTGTAGATGAAATATAATTAGGTCAGATGCCAAAGACAGGTTTCAAAAGTAACCAAACTGTTTCTGAACTCAGCTTTGATCTGGAGCAACACTTCGTCTGTAACAGCGGAGCAGCCCAGGGAACTCACTCTCGCTCAACTTCAGTTCAGTAGGTCCTGCCACAGGACTGGCCCGAAGGCCACATGCCTTCCAGCACCGAGTGCAACCCTGCGGCTGGCTCTGCCTCTTCTTGCTCTGCCTGCTGTCCTCCACCTCTTCTCCGTTTCCCATTCCTACTATCTCCCTCTTAAAGTCTCTCAAACAGAAATAGTCTTGTTTGCTATATTTACTAGAGTGTTACTGTACTTATTTTTCACTTAAGCAAACAGAACATTTTAAAATTTATTTCAAAACCAAAACAACGCTCTCTTGATGTGAGTGGCCCCTTTATGAAGGAAAATTTCTTAATCTGTTTTAGGCATAATGGCAGACGTTCAGATAGGGTTTTTCTTTCACCTTTCCACCTGCCCCTGGGCTCCCCCTCCTTCTCCAGGGAAATTCCTAGCATCAGTGTGGTGTGTTCCTTCTACAAGATTCACTCTGTCTTACATACAGAACTACAGATAAAAATATAAACCTTTCGTGTGGGGAATTAATCTGAATGAGAGAACCTGCACACATCACATTGAACTTCCTCTTTGTCCACGTAACAGTGTTTTTTGAAGATCCTTCCACATTACTACATACAGACTTACCTCCTTGTTTTCAGTGGCTAATTTGTTTCCCATTTAAATGTAACAACAAAAATTATTTGGATTTTTTCATGTTAAGGCCATTGTACCTTGTGGGCAGGAAGTTACCTCCAATGAGATATATGCTGCACTCCTTTGCTACTTCAGAAAGCTTCTGTGTGGATTCACCAGGAATTTTCTCCGCATATTGAGGAAAATAGTTCGTGCCATATGGAGAATTAAAGCATTCCTAGAATAATGTTGGCAAAGGAAGGGAAAAGAACACTAAAACACCCAACCTGTTTTAAAGTTCTGCTCTAAGAAGACATAGCTGCTTCTTCTAGCTCTGCTCTCAAAGGGACACAACACAGCTCATACGAAAGACACTGACCTCCCCGGGCTAAAGAGCCTGTGGGCACAGGCAGGACTCTGCAGCTGGCTCGGCAGAGGACACAGGTCACGTGTGCTCTCTCAGATCCCGGTCACTTCAGCAGAGGCCAGTCCTGCCTCTCCCTCGAGTCTGCAGAGAACTAGGAGTTCCCAGCCTCGGGCCCCCAGGCCCCACTACAGCTGGGCTAACTCACACCACTTTGGGGTTAGGATGCACCCATAGGCTCAAAGGTATATTAATAACTCTGTAAAGCAATAAAGCCTGTGTTTCAAAAAGTACGGAAGCTTTGAAAGCCACAGAAAGTAAAATGCTTCCTCATCTGTAAAATGAGCTACTTCTATGCTCCCTTCCAGCACTATCGTTCTGATCCTGTGAAATCTCTCATTCCCCAAGACCTGTCTGTCTTCAATAGCTCTCTGAGAAAAGCAAAAACTAATAGACTTCAACTCTAAGTCCTTGTTTCCCATGTATTGAGGTTGCCTGTGCACCTGGCACTGAGCCAGCAGACTCAAGCCGAGGATCAGCAGCTCACACAAGGCCTATCAGAAGGCGCACGCACAGCATTCACGTGCTTTCACCCCCGGCCTTTGGACTCTGACCCCCAACAACTTATTCCACAAGACACATGATCAGGGTCCAAGTACGGGAGAGTCCCGTGACTGGAGCCGTGAGGAGGACAGGATTCATTACGACCTCAGCTCCCCTGTTAAAGATCCCTACTCACTGGCCACTGTGACGGTCTGGAGCCTAAACTACAAGGTAGCCCCAAACACCCTCCAGTCAACCTCAGCAGGGTTTGCAAAGGGCTGCCTCCTCCCCACAGTGGGAGGGGTAGGGTCGGGGGGTCTGTGTGGAATCCACCACCAACCCCAGTGGCCTCTGCCAGGAGAAGACGCCAGCAGACATATGCCCTGACCCAAGCAGGACTCGAACCGTACCCAGTGACAGACAAATGGGATGTGGCCTTCAGCTGGTTCTGCTCTGAAGGAAATTACCTAGGAAAGAGAAGCACAGTCCACCCAACTCACCACGGTCTACCACTTTGAGGAAGGTACTACAAGCTTCCCAAATGTCTCTGACAATCTTCAGTTTTCAACAATTTTTTGAAAACGTTGGGGGCTTAGCACTAAAATCACTATGTCCTGGTCCTGTAAAGACTTAATTCTACAAGGAAAGAAAGTGAGTAGCCGAGGCACTGAGGATTTCTGCTTCAGGTAAGTCCCTCAGCCTATGAGGACTCTGAACAGAACAGATGATCTTGAAGTTAAAGACCTGTAATAAGGCCAGCATATCCTATCACAGAAACCCTGGCTAGGGTCACCTTCCAGACAAACATGGGACAGTCCTGGGGTCCCAAAGGACCTTGCTGGATCCAGACACAAGAGGACAACCAGCACTAGCAGACACTATCCTGCTGGGTCAACAGCTCCCACAAAGGGCTGACTGCCTCCATACTTACTGGCAGACAAACTATTTTGGCTCCTTGTGCTGCCGCCTCCCGGACAAGGCCACAAGCTCGAGTGAGGTTATCTGATTTGACGGAAGAAACTTGAAGTTGGATGAGGGCCAAGCGGAAAGCTGAGGACGAAGATAAAAGAACACAGCTGTCAAGAAATCTGAATCAGATGGAGCAGCAGTTCTCAACTGGACGGCAACTTTGCCCCCCAGGACATCTGGCAATGTCTGGAGACAGTTTTGATTGTCATGCCTGGTGGGGTGCTACCGGCATCTAGTGGGCAAAGGCAGCGATACTGCTAAACATGCCTCAAGGCACAGGGCAGACCCCACAACAAAGAATTATCCAGTCCAAAACGCCCACACTGCTGAGGCTGAGAAACCTTGAGATAGAGCAACATCCACAGGCAAAGCGCCATAGGAACTAACCCGAACGTCTTTCAAGTTAACATGATAATAAATAATCTTTGGTAAATAAAAATTTATTTAGGGACTGGCCTGTTGGCGTAGCAGTTAAGTTCACACACTCTGCTTCAGCGGCCCACGGTTCACTGGTTCAGATCCTGGGCACAGACCTACAGACAGCTTATCAAGCCATGCTGTGGCAGGCGTCCCACACATAACATAGAGGGAGATGGGCACAGATGTTAGCTCAGGGCCACTCTTCCTCAGCAAAAAGAGGAAGATTGGCAGCAGAGGTTAGCTCAGGGCTAATCTTCCTCAAAAAAAAAAAGTAGAAAAAGTTCGTTTAAGTTTGTTGGTTTGATTAAAATAGGCATGTCTTTATAGTTATCAACTTTGGATATGATGCAGATGTGCAGTCTGGGTTTACTAGTCAAATAAGCTCATGGTATCCCCATTACAAATTTGTCAGCAAAATAATAGCTTAGAATAACTGATTTTGTCTGATGTGTCAAAGCCTTTATAGGCAATCTAAATAATTAGTGTGACAAGTAATTTTCCCATACTGAGGTATATGGGGTAAATATTCAGGTTCAAAACTGATTCCACTTGAACTAAAGAAGCCTGACTTATGGCCTATCAAATGCATTGTACTCCTGCTTAACCATTAAAGTAAAGAATGCACTCTCTTAAGATAAGAGGGCAGACTTCCCCTCAAAGCCCTATTGGTAATGCCAGGATTAGTCCCTTTCCCAACATCAGGGTCGTGTTGACCTGCTAATTTGCAACTAAAAACCTCTTTGAAATTTTGATGAAAATGTATCCTGGGCGTGTTTAATGTATGTTCTTTGTTCTAAAGAGATATAAGACTGCTGAAAACCATGCTTCTCCGGAATGCTTTCTAAGGCCTTCTTGGGTTATAATCCTCATTCTGGCTCAAGGAAAACTCATGTTATTTCTCTTATCTGTAGAATGGTTATTGGTTATTTTGCATTGACAAAAGTAATATGTTTCTAGAAATTATAAAAAGCATTTGTGAGTTTGCCAAGTCACCGAATGCTAAGTAAAGGACAGTTCAAAGGGCCTGCTTTTTAGTTTTCATTAAAAATTAAGGTCTGTAAGGGTTAAGAATTCCAATTAATATATGTAATTAAAACTACTAAAAATTTAATAAGGAAAACATCTTTGTATTCAAAGAAAATAAGATATATGTTTTCAGTAAACAAGGTATAAAGAATGGAAGTATTTTTGTTTTAATAAGAAAAATAAATTTGTCCTAAAGTATTAGGAAGAGGAAAAAAAAAAAAGGAAGGCATGGGACAAATTCTGAATGTAAAAAGAAAGTGATAGAAGGCTGATGGAAGTATAACCCTGAGTTTTGTGCATGGTCAAGCTGGCTAAGATTGAAATGAATTTAATTAAGGAGTCTTGATGTAAAATGTAGGCTGGTGCAAAAACTAGAATGTGGCTTTCTCTCTAAAAAGATAATTTTCTTGAACTTTTGGTCTGCTCTTGATAAAGAGGTTATAAAAGGTTTTTCTTTACCTTTGAGTAAGTCTACCTAAATGACAGAAAATCCATATTTTGTTAAAATAACTTTCTATGTTCAAAGACAATGAGCTCTATTAAGGTTTTTCTGTTTCTGTCGTCATTTTGATTGAATGGATAACAGCACTGTTCCCTATTTGACCAAGTGTTTTTAAACTTTTTGACTTTTTTAGGGGTGAATCTCTCCTAAAATTGAAGTCCTTCTTTTGACTTAAAAAAAGGAAACTTTGAGAAGTTCCAATCAGCCCTGGGACTTCTCAAAGAAACTGTTCTCTCTTTCTCTAAAGAGGAAGATATTAAACTAATTAGACTTACTTGGTATGTTAAATTATATGGCAAGCATTGTCAAATAAATGATGATAAACCTTCTTAGGTGGTATTATGTGGGTAAATGTTATTGATATAAACATTTTAAAAATTATATGACATTCCAGGGCCTGCCCAGTGGCGCAGCGGTTAAGTGCGCACATTCCACTTCTCATTGGCCCAGAGTTCGCTGGTTCGGATCCCAGGTGCAGACATGGCACCGCTTGGCAAAAGCCATGCTGTGGTTGGCGTCCCACATATAAAAGGTAGAGGAAGATGGGCTTGGATTTTAGCTCAGGGCCAGTCTTCCTCAGCAAAAAGAGGAGGACTGGCAGTAGTTAGCTCAGGTGTAATCTTCCTCAAAAAAAAAAATTATATGACATTCCTAAAATTCTGGTATGTCCTGTTTGTCAGCCATAATTATAGTTATTATCTTGAAGTGTTGTGTGTCATAGAAATAGTCAAGTTTCTTTGTCAATTGCACTTTTTGAGTCTTTTGTCATTTGCAGTTGTCATTTTACTTTGATGTTTTTACAGATGCATTTCATCTTCAGAGAGATTCATGGAAAAGACTCTGACACTTACTCTAGAATACAAGTTTCTGATAAACTTTCAGATCATAAAACTGAACTGGGTGTAAAAAAAATTACAGAAATCTAACGGAAAAACTGAGTTCATGAAACTGCTAACAGAAGATTTAATGAACTCTTTTTCTTTTTTCTCTCAAGCTAACTATGACTTAGAAAAATTTGGTAAATTATACCCTTGAAAGCAGAATTGAAACATTTATCTTTTTTCCCCTACCTGATCCCTCCAGAATTTGGAAACTCTTCGTGAGAGAATATTGCTATTTTCATGGCAATGTAGTTATTTGTATAAGTTCAATAAAAATATGTTCTCCTTATAACAGGACACAACTGGAAACACTGGTTATATTGCCAAAGCTTTGACTGGAATGTCATATTTGAGAGAAACATGCATAAACTCAGATATGACCAGACAGCTTTTGAGGAATAAAGGTCGACTTTATGAAATAAAGTCACTTGGAAATATTGGCCTGGTACCTTGTTTACACGGTTCCCAGCAACTTTACCAGGTGGGTAAAGAAGGTGACTTCTTTGGCAGGTGCAGGGAACCTCAAGGATATTTTAGGGAACCTCAAGAGAAGAGGGGAATTCATTCAAATCTATAGGTACTGCAGGCAGATCCTGATGACAGGTCCTTGGCTTTGCCTGGCCGGGCCTTGAGAGGCCTTTGAAGATCAATCTGAGATTCCCTATAAAAAGTTTCAGCAAAGCAGAGTTAAAAGAACCTATACGATCAATGGCTATTTGCTGCACTTATGTAAATAATTGGACCAAGTTTTATTGAAACTAGACTTATTTTGCCAACTAGTTAGTCTTAATTTGGGTATCATTTCTAAAAAAAAATGAGGGTGATTTTAGAGAGAAAAATTATGTTTCAGTAGAAACTAACACACAATTGTGGGTATTAGATTCTAGTTCTATTCATTGTCTTTGAGATTTTGGTTTTCTACCTGTAAACTGGACTGGATCTTAAATTCTAGTTTCCTCAAATATCTAGCTACAAATATTCAAACTTACTAGCCAGAGATGTAATATATTGGAGGTATTAGGGACCACAGAGAACCAGCAGTTTATTAAACCTTTAATCTACAAATTAGGTGAAAACAGTGAACCCGTTCCTTTCTATATGTGCCAGAATGCCCTAATCCTTTGCTGGGTAGGGACCTGCTGCATAAATTATTCCATTTATTTGAAAGGGGACCAATTGGAGGTAAATGTCCCCTCAGCCTTTGGTCACCAGATAATTATGTTCCTGAAAAAAGGGACTGAGTCAAAAGGTTTAAAGGCAAACTTAATGGAATTATTAAAGGTAAATCCTTGAGTTTGGGCCCAAGAAAGAGTGGGACACGCATCCAAGCGAACCCGGTAATTGTCAAATTAAAACCTGGGCACACATGCCCAAATGTTAAACAATATCCTCTCAGACAGGATGCCCTAAATGGTATGCCCCTCATTGTAAAGAACTTCATTAATCAAGGCCTCATCAGGCCATGCCAATCAGCATGCAACACTCCAACCCTCCCAGTCAAAAAGCCAGTGGGAGGTACAGGAAGGCAGAAGTACAGGAGAAGAGAACAACTAGAGTACACCCTTCAGGTAGGGTAAACAGTGAAGGCATTCACAGCATATGGCAACCAAGTCCTGCCTGGCCCCATGGATCTGGCCCTCCATCCCTTCCAGCCTGGTGATTTGGTAGACCTAAAAACATGGAATACTGGGAGCCCACAGGACTAGTCCTTCCTAAGTGGAACAGGCCTTATCTGGTGATTCTAACCACTCACTCTGTCCTAAAATTACAGGGAGTCACCCCTCAGGTGCGTCATACTCAAGTCAAGAGAGACCCTGAACCAGAAGACTTGGTAACTCCAAGCCATCCTGACTTTCCCTATGAGCCCCTCTTAGGCCTGAAGCTCTTACTCTGGAGACATAAAGATGAGTCCTTGGTGGGCTGGCTTCCTACCCTGTGGAGGTGTTGGGACTCCTTCTGTCATCTCTCATAACTATACTTATCCTCACCCTGACCTGTGCCTCCCTGAAAGGCCTATACCTACAGCACCGCTAGGCTATGTGGAATGGGGCCCAACAGACTCTCCCAGCCTGACTTGGTTTCTATCACGTTTCTGAGGCCTCTGGTGGCTATTCTGCTTCTTCTATTCTTTGGGCCTTGCATCCTAAACTGTCTGGTTTCCTTTGTTAGCAAAAGACTAATTAAATTCCAAATGGTATTAACCAGGGATCTCAGAGGTTGAGAGACCAACCGGATGACAAGCAAACATATCTAAAACTTGCTAGGGATAAGTTCTCCTCCTCTCTGGGCCCCTATGCCGATGCCCTCATCAGCTGGAAGAGCTTAGGGAACACAGATCTTCATCCATTGCCGCTCAAGGAGGAGGAGCAAGACATAATCAGAGGAGGGATCTCATCACCCTGGGAAGTCCTTAACATATCTTCCAAGTTTAATGCTTTGTTTTTAAGTTGTGATTGCTTATAGGAACCAAAGCAAAACAATATCACGTGGCCAACCAGCAGAACCAGTCCCTACCGGTCCAAACCAGAAAGGTCCAAGATGGAATGGGCTGCCATGTGCAAAAGGAAACGTGTGCAAGGGAAGAGGTGTGCATGCCCCAAATGCCCCCACCCGGAGCTACGACCTGGAGACCCTCCCCTTCACATCCTATAAGATCCCTGCTCACCTTCCCCTCAGGGAGGCATTTTAGAGCAGGAGCGCTGCCTCCTCCATTCACTGATCAATGAATAACGTCTCTGCCCTGCTATGCCAAACCCCTTCTCCTTGTATTGGCGTGGGCGGCTCAGGGCAAAAGCACCCACTTGCAGGTCACCGGTCCCTTGGGGCTCTGTAAAGGGATAAAGCAGGACGGCCACCCGGTTGGTTTGTTTGGGGTGAGTGACGGGGAAGTCACGTAACTTGAAAACACTCCTCCAGGGGTCAGATGACCCCATCAGAAACCGCGGTTCTCAAGGCCAGCAGCCTGTCGTGCTCCGCCTCTGCAGACCCCACTCCTGCCCAGAGCGGGGTGCGGAAGGACTGCCCCACCCCATCCCGACACTCCTGCAGCGCGACCTGCTCTGCGCCCCGGCGCACTTCCACCCTCCTCACCACCTCGGGGGCCGCGGGGACCTGGGGAGGGCAGTTCATATCCACTTTACAGGACAGGAAACGGGTGCAGAGCCCATCCTTGCTGGCTGGGCCAGGCTACGACTGAATAATCCCGGTCTCCCGACCCCGAGACCAGAGCACGCAGTGCCTCTCGGGAGGGAACCCGGCAGAGGCCTGGGGGCGCACGGGCCTGGACCCCGGCCCTGGGCCGTCCAGGATGGGCCGTGTAACGGTAACCCTGAGCTGGGAGCTCGGCGTCCGGATGCGGACAGCTTGCCAGGGTTTCCTTCAGGACAAGAGGGCGTCCCGGGGGTGGGGGTAGGGAGCGGGGAGCATGGTAACCAGCCCTCTTCCCACAGCGCGAGTCCGAGACGCACAGTTCCACTTTCACGGGACAGGGCCCAAACCATAAATAACCAGCGTCGATGCCTTTGCAAAACCCAGGTTCAAAGACAGATTCAAGGCGAAGAGAGCGACAGCAACCGCGCCGGAGGGTCCCGCTTCTGGCTCAAACTAAGTCCGCGAGGCCGGGGGCGGGGCTGTCGCACCTGGAGCGGCAGTGCCTGCCTGCCTGGCCGAGGCTTCGCGCCAAGCGCAGCCGGCCGGGCCGGGCCGGGCTGGAGGGACGGAACCCGCACTACAAAGGCGCACCGCCCCCTCCTCCCGCGCAGGGACCGGGGCAGGAGGCCGGGACCACCGGCCGCACCGCCTCGCCCGGAGGCCCCCGAAGCCCGCAATCCCCGGGAGGGCGCCGGGCCGCGTTCCACGGCCCCTCCCCGCCGCCCGAGCGCCGCGGACACCCGCGACACTGCGGACACTGGGGACACCAGGACCCCACGTCAGGGAATGAAGGCTACGCAGGCGGCGGGGACACGGCGCGGAGGAGAGCTGATCCGGCGAGGGCCTCCGCCCGGCGCCGCATCCGCGGCCACCCCTCCGACGCCAGCTCGGCTGCCCCGCCACTTACTAGCCATGACTCTCCCGGCAAGCGCCATGCGCCGCGCGCAGCCCAGGTCTCCTGGCCGAGCCCGCGAAAGCGAGAGGGGCCGGGCGCGTCGGAGGAGGGGCTGGGCAGAGCGGCGCGTCGGAGGAGGGGCGGGGCAGAGCGGCGCGTCGGAGGAGGGGCGGAGCCAGGCGGCACGTCGGAGGAGGGGCGGGGCGAGCAGAGAGTCGGAGGGGCGGGGCAGAGCGGCGCGTCGGTGGAGGGGCGGGGCAGAGCGGCGCGTCGGTGGAGGGGCGGGGCAGGCGGCGCGTCGGGGAGGGCGGGGCCAGGCGGCGCGTCGGAGGAGGGCGGGCCAGGCGGCGCGTCGGAGGAGGGGCGGGGCCAGGCGGCGCGTCGGAGGAGGGCGGGGCCAGGCGGCGCGTCGGAGGAGGGGCGGGGCAGGCGGCGCGTCGGAGGACGGGCGGGGCCAGGCGGCGCGTCGGAGGACGGGCGGGGCCAGGCGGCGCGTCGGAGGAGGGCGGGGCCAGGCGGCGCGTCGGAGGAGGGGCGGGGCCAGGCGGCGCGTCGGAGGACGGGCGGGGCCAGGCGGCGCGTCGGAGGACGGGCGGGGCCAGGCGGCGCGTCGGGGAGGGCGGCGGCCAGGCGGCCGTCGGGGGAGGGGCGGGGCCAGGCGGCGCGTCGGGGAGGGGCGGGGCAGAGTGGCCGGCCGGGGGAGGGGCGGGACTAGACGTCCGAGGCTCCGCGCGCGCCCCGCCCTTGGGCCCGCGGGCTGCTTGGAGAGAGTCCGTTCTAGCGCGTCTCAAACTCTTATTAATCGCCCGGTGTCTGCGCTAGGATGGATCAACGGGAAACGGGTAATTCCAACACAATCCGGAGACAGGAATGCCCCCAGAAGCAAAGGGACAAAGAGGGGCGGCCTAAATCAGGGTGGTGCGCTCGTCAGTGTTTAACACCCGGCCTCTGGTAAGCAGCAGCAGGACAGCCCGTGTCGCTGGTTGGATCACCTGTGGCCGGGGGTGATGCCACGTGCTGACTGCCTAGGTCTCTTTAAACCTGTGTGACGGGGATGGAATTTTCCAGGTCTATCAAGACGTCAGTGGGGTCCGATTACAAGGCTGTTATGTAATGGGGGAGAGGAGAAGAGAAACTGAGGGTTCAAACAACATCCTCAACAGCACTTCAGTCCTCTAATATGCTGAAATCTGTTTGCTAATATTGTTTAGGATTTTTGCATTTATTAGTCAGAATTGCTTTTTGCTTTTTGTGTTTTGTGTGTTTGTGCTTTTTGTCAAGTTTGGGGATCAAAAATCATCAAATAAAAGCTTGCTATCCCTTTTAATGCTCTGGAATAGTTTAGATTGTGTTGAGATGGATCCTAGTTTTTTAAAGGACTATAAAACATGTTTAGGACAATTAGAGACATTTAAATATGAACTGGATATTGGATGCTTTAGTGAATTTTGTGTGATAATGGTATTGTAATTATGCTAGACAACAGCTTTCTTCTGAGGAGTTGCATGCTGCATTATTTAAGGGTGAAGTGTCAGATGTCTAACTGACTTGAAAATCGTCAGCAAAAAGAAAATATGTGCTGAGCCAGCCCTGATGGCCTAGCGTTTAAAGTTCTGCGCGCTCTGCTTTGGCAGCGTGGGTTCGGTTCCTGGGTGCAGAGCCACACCACTCATCTGTCAGTAGCCACGATATGGCTGCCACTCACGTGAAAGAACTAGGACTTACAACTAGAATATACAACTATGCACTGGGGCTTTGGGGAGGAAAAAAAAGAGAGAGAGGAAGATTGGCAACAGATATTAGCTCAGGGTGAATCTTTCCCAGCAAAAAAAAAAAATGTGCTTATATAGAGATAGAGCAAATATGGCAAAATGTTAATTATTAAATCTGGGAGGAGGATATGTAGCTGTTCAAGGTACTAGTTAAGGCTTTTTAAAGTTTTGAATTTTATAACATTTCCAACAAAAAGTTGCGGGGGAAATACATAGCAATTAGGGGGTTTTTGCGGCTTTAACAGACCAACTGGACCTGGCTTTGTAGCAGGAGGATCTTTGATAACTTTTTAATTTGTGCTATGCTTATTAGCCTATTGAGGATCCTGAGTCCATATTGTCTGCTTACAGTCTGTTAAAAAAAAAAAATCACCCATTTCATCTAGATTTGCAAGTTTATTGGCAGACCAGTGTATCTAACATGGCTGGACGTGTTACTGGAACATCCAGGTGGAGATGCCCAGCGGGCAGTTGGACATGAGGAAGCCTCAAGCTCATACCTCCAGGCTGGAGATTGATGAGGAGTCTTCAGCAGTTTACACAAGATGAGGCTCTGAACGTGGATACTGACACGCGAGTGACTGAAAGCACAGGCAGAAGAGGGGCCTGTGGGGCCTGGAAAGGAGCCATCCCAGAGACAGGGGAACCAGGAGAGGGCCGTGGAGACCAAGAGCCTGTGGACTTGTTCCCTCCAACACCTGCAGGGAGGCTGCTGGCCTGGATACAGGTTTCTAGACAAGGGAAAGGTAATAGAAATGAAAACTATGTTTTTGAGCTTTCTGGGCATGATGGAAAAGCTAGTCACTGGGTTCCAGTTCCGGCTCTGCCACTAATTTGATGTTAATACCTAGGGCAAATCACCTCACTCTCAGGACCTTTTCATCAGCTGTAACATAAAAGGACCTACAGGCAAGAGGAGGGGAGAGAGGCTGGAGGACTGAGTCCGTGCAGCCCTCCCTGCCCCCTCCACTCCCTGCCCCTCAACCGCAGCAGCTCTGCCTTCCTGTTGCCATGTTCCCTTTCACCTCACATTGGAAAAGTAGCCAGAGCATAAACTACTAAACTAAATGGATCTCTGAAGCCCACCTAAAAATCTGGTATTGCCACCATGTCCCCCAGCTTTAATGACCATCTCCAGGCTGGCAGTGGTCAGATTTCTGTTTTCAGTCGAGAGGAGTACTCCAGCATCTCCAGCTGCCTGTAAGCCGTCTCTATTTACATGTCTTGACATCAGGTCAAACTCAACTGTCTGAAACTAAATTTATCGTCCCTAAAAGAGCTCCTCTGCCTAGCTTCCCTCTTTTACTCATAGGCACCCCATTTATGCCAGTTTCCAATTCTCCTTGCTCCCCAGCTCCTCCCTCTCCAAATCTGTCACCTCTATGTCTTTCAAGTCTTTTATCCCCCTCCTCTGCCTAGGGACAGGGCCCTTCCACTCTCCTGAAGTACCCCTCGATTGCTGCCTCTCTTTTTCTCCCCATGCCCACCGTCCATGACAAGGCCTGCCTTATTTGGGTGAAACTGCCATAGGCAACTCTTAACTGGCCTCTCCATCAGCAGCTTATCCTCCAAGCACTCCGCCTGAGTGTTAGGGGAGTTAGTCTGGGGGACAGGAGTTCAAGTTTGGGAGTGAGGTAGATACACAAACGACTATGTGGGGATCAGAATTGGCCACCCCAAAATGTGTCTCTGTGGCTTATTTTTAAGGACAAAAGACTGAAACTGTGACCTTCCCTCTTACTGCCTAAAAGATTTTAAGGTAAAAGGCTTGAGCTCTCTCGCGTCACTTTCCCCAACATCCTCCTATGTCTTTAGCTTAAGATGGTATTTAAGGTGGTGGCTTCAGCCATTTTGGCAAGTTACTCAGTTTTCCTGGGTTTCCCCCATGTATACACGTTATTAAATTTTGTTTGATTTTCTCCTGTTATTCTGTCTCATGTCAATTTAATTCTTAGACCAGCCAGAAGGACCTAGAGGGGAGAGGAATTGTCTTTCTCCCCTACAACTAATAGTAGTCAGAGATGAGGGGTTGAAAATCAGGAGGAAGAACTGGAATCGTCTGCACGAGAATAAGAGCAGAAACTCTTTAACAGTGGATGAGATCCTACAAGGAGAATGCGTGACACTGCAAAAGACAAAGGAGCAGACTTGAGAATTACCGTATTGGGTTTAGAGCCTTGCATACAGAGGGAGTCCCAGGGGATATGCACGTGCATGTGTGTGAAAACACACACCACACACATAGATACATATAATTGTTTCCAAATTTCTGATGAAGTTGTCTACAAATCAGAAGAACTGAGTTCGAAACTTTGCCCCATCACCTAAGGCCATGTGACTTTGGGCAAATTTATTTAACATAAGGATAGCAATGTAATATAGCTACATGGGCTAGAAAGGTCTGTGGAGTGAAGCTGGCAACTCAAAGAGAAAAAAGTACAGTGAATTGAAACAGGCCCCTGGCTCTGGCCTCCTGTTTCCAGGCCAGCATCCAGCAAAGAAGTCAGGTGTAGCGTAGCACCTATGACCATGCACTCTGGAATTAGATTGTTCTTAAATCCTGGCTCTACCACTGATTTGCTGTATGATCTTATTCTCTCCATGCCTTTATTTCTCCATCTGTAATATGGAGATAATAGCACACATATAACATTGTTGGGAGAATCACAAAACATTATAAGTGCTTGGAAGCTACTTGGCACTGAGTAACAACTCCATAAATTTTTTTTTTTTTACGATTGGCCCTGAGCCAACATCTGTTGCCAGTCTTTTTTTTTTCTTCTTCTTCTCCCCAAAGTCCCCCAGTATGTAGTTGTACATTCTAGTTGTAGATTCTTCTAGGTGAGCTATGTGGGACACCACCTTAATGTGGCTTGACAAGCAGTGCTAGGTCTGCACCCAGGATCTGAACTGGCAAAACCCTGGGCCACCAAAGCAGAGCATGCAAACTTAACCAGTTGGCCACGGGGCTGGCCCCAATTCCATAAATATTACCCATTAGAAACCAAACATCCAAATAATACAAAAATCCCCTAATTTTTAAATGTTTCCACTTATCCAAATGTCAGAAATTGTGTGGGCCATGCAAAATGTCGTATTCAGCCTTAAGCGGCCAGTTTGCAACCTCTCCTATTCTTGTTTTCATTCATTTGTTCGGCAAATAAAGGAAGAGCAAACAGTGAGGGATCAGAGGTGGAACTGCAAGGAACAGATAGCACCCCTAGGGATGGGAGGACAAGGGAAGAAGTTGGCGTTATTAGAATCTAGAAACTGGGACCCAGACCCCTGAGGAGGGATGCTGTGGCTGGTGCTGGGAAGGTGGAAAAAGACCTGGAAACTGGAACCAGCTGCTCCCGGAACCCATCACCACTGC